ATATAACATAGGCTTGTGTTGTTTGCCCTCCCCTCACAACCTTCGGGAGAGCCCTGGTGAAGCCTCCTCCTCCTCTTCCTCAGATGACCCATGGAATTGCCTGTGGAGTGGAATAAATGGAGCCACAGACTGCAAGGAAAACTGCACTCCACTCCTCATTCTGGTGTCCCCCCAAGAGCTCCCTCCCTTGATGGAGGAAGAGGGCTCACCCATCGACCACTGGTACCTCCCAGCCAGCCCTACCTCACCAGCAGGCATCTGAGTTGCTCCTTCAACCTTCCCTCAATGCCTACCGCTGTTAAGAGATTAAAATTTCAGCCTCAGTTCCAAAGCAGCCAGTCGCCACTCACCCATCAGGCCTTGCTGCCAGCCGATTGGGTGCAGGGGACAGAAGGAGGTGGGAAAGAGGTTGGGGATACACCCATGACAATCACTTGACCTGGGATGGCACTGGCGGCATGGCAGTACAGCAATGCTGAAGCGGTCCCAAATTTCAATCCCACAGGAGTAATGGGATTGAATAAGGACAACTAATGTAAAATAACTGAAGTTATTTGAATTGTATTATAGTCTTAAATTGCTATTTAATATAGTTGCATATTTTGGACTCATTCTGTAAGTTAGCCCATTTGCAGTATCTGGTTTCAAAAACTGTTGCCCTATGATGCACCGTTTCTCCCGTAGCTTGAAAGTTACAGACACGAGAGTTTTAGTAGTATATAGATTAGATCTTAAGCATGTTTAGATGCTGCCTGATCCAGGACAAACTCATTGATCAAAGGACTGAAAGAGCTAATATGTTAGGAGAAGTTATTGCAGTTGAGTTTTTAGTCAGAAAAAAAGGAAAATAAGAAAGAATATTGTATAAAACCATGTATTGTGTGGAGAAAGCAAATAGATCTTTTTTCACATTTGGAAACACTAGAACCTGGCTCATCTAATTAAGTTGAATGGTGAAAGATTCAGAACATATGAAAGGACAGCACACAGGTAACTCTGCTTTGGTATATAAGACTGAGTTCATACATTACACTAAACCATAGTATGCTTTCTTTGGTTTTTGCTTAATATATTGTATGAACCTAGTTAATTTTGGACTATAAACCCTGGTTTGCAGTACAAACATTATTAAACAAACAGTGACTTAGAGTGATGTATGAACCAGACTCTAATGATGACTACCAAACTGAATAGTTTAAAAAAGTAATTAGATCAATATATCGACAATAGGGCTAGAAATTCCCATTAATACTTGTTCCTTCTTAAGGAACAAGAATGCAAGGGCAGGACTGTTGTTATGTCCTGCCTGTGGGTTTCCAATTGGCATTAGTTTGGTCAATACAGAAGCACAGTACAAGGTAAGCCTTCAGTCTTATGTCATATTTTTATATACAATTAGTTGGAGGACTTAATTTATTTATTTTTCTTCTGCAGGCATAGAACGTAATGCAGCTCAAATGCCACAGGGCAACGTTGATGTCTCAAGTGTCTTTTCTCCATATTCTACAAGACAGGTCTCACTGCAGGAGGAGGATTTTAACAAGCTGTTAAATCTAACCAACTATAATGTCCAGAATAATGCAAACACAATCTTGGAGGTTTTGCACAAGGTGGTAGAACGGAAGAAACGGGTTCAGTTATCTCAGTCATCTTCATGAAATTGCCTTCTTTGTCTCGTAAAAGGAAACATACACATAAGAACTCCAAGCTCTGATAAAAAAAAGGACAACTAATGTAAAATAATTGAAGTTATTTGAATTGTATTATAGTCTTAAATTGCTATTTAATATAGTTGCACATTTCGATTATGCCTTATATATCCACTTCAGTGTCTTCCATTTATTCAGATTCCTGAATATTTAAAAAATTGCCTGTTATTTACAAATATAATTATAGTGCACATGATTCTTTACTCCACACACTCCCACACAAATAAATGCAATCCGTTGTATTTGTCCAAGCTATAGTGACTCAAAATATGTTTGTTGAATTAATTATTAAAAAGTTATTGAACGTTGACTTAAATATTGCTAAGGTAAACTGATACGGGTAACTATAAAATAAATGGTACATGAAGTTGCAGATGCATAATATAAATCATTATTGCATAAAGCAGTTATGCCTTATAGATTTGTTTTGGTTTCAGATCAATGCTGTTAAAAGAGCCAGTTTGGTGTAGCAGTTAATGCATCAAAGTAGAAACCTGGAGACTGTGAATTCTAGTCCTGCCTTACCCATAAGGCTAACTGAGTGATCTTGGACCAGTCACTTCTCTCAGCCCTAGGAAGAAGGCACTGGCAAGCTACTTCTGAAAAATGCTGTCAAGTGAACTTCAGGGGGTAGTCACCAGGAATCAAAACTAACTTGAAGGCACAAATTTGAATTCTATGGTCTTAATGCTAGTTTAAAAAGCTATAGTTATTGTTTTTGTGCATATTAGGATCCTCTACTCATTAAGCTTGTATTTTAAGTACTTGCTTTCTGTATGGTGCTTTGTATATAGTAATTTGAAAATATGATTAGGTAATCAATATTCATACGGAAATACACCAAAGCCGAAATCATGAATTAATAACAGCAAAATTATATCAAGAGCCAGTTTGGTGTAGTGCCTACGGCATCAGACTAGAAACCATGAAACTGGGAGTTCTAGTCCCGCCTTAGGCACAAAGCCAGCTGGGTTACCTTGGGCCAGTCACTCTCTCTCAGCCCTAGGAAGGAGGCAATGGCAAACCACTTCTGAAAAACCTCAGCAAGAAAATTGCAGGGACTTGTCCAGGCAATCACCAGGGGTCAAAAATTGACTTGAAGGCACAATTAAAAATTGCATCACATTGTGACTATTGCAATGTGTTCTACATGGGCTGTCCTTGAAATCCACTCACAAAGCCACTTCTAGGCAAATCTCTGCACTTTGATTGGCAACTGCCCAGGGGCAGAAATGACTCCTCCACTACAGCTACTTTTACCAAGGGTGTCCCAGTAGCCCAATGGTTATAATATTTGTCTGACATGCAGAATGTCACCAATTGGATTTTCTGCAGATTTTTTTCAAAAAACAACTTATTTTTCTTTCCCTGAACTCCTTACTATTCTGCTAAGCAATAACAACAGCAACTTAATAATAACAACAACATAACAGAGGAAAAGCAATCTGAAAAAAATTACAAAATACCAGGACTTGCAGATCAAAGTGGAATGCTTGTGGAAAAAGAAATCTGCTGTTATGCCAATTGTGATTGGAGCCCTTGGAGCAATGCGTAAAGGATTCCCTCGATATTTGGAAATTTTGAATTTATCAGACATGTTCACCCTAATTTTACAAAAACATACTCTCCTTGGAACTGCTTATATCCTCAGATGCTACTTTAATAATTCTTAGGTGCTTGGTTAGGACTTGAATTATTAAGTTTTCACCAGTCTGACTGTGAACCTGTAGATTACCCATAATAATAATAACAATATAACAACAACAACATCAGTCAATTGCAAAATGCAGCTTTACTCATCAGTCAATTGCAAAAGGTAGCTTTAGTTGGAACAGCTTATATCCTGCGATGATACCTTTAACACCATCAAACAACAACATCTGCCTATCCCAGGTTCTTGGAAAGGACTCGATAGATGGATAAAAATGCCAAATCCAGTCTAAACATCTGGCTGACTGTGCGACCAACCATAATAATCTTTAGTTGGAACAGCTTATATCCTGCGATGATACCTTTAACACCATCAAACAACAACATCTGCCTATCCCAGGTTCTTGGAAAGGACTCGATAGATGGATAAAAATGCCAAATCCAGTCTAAACATCTGGCTGACTGTGCGACCAACCATAATAATCATCTGGCTGACTGTGCGACCAACCATAATAATCATCTGGCTGACTGTGCGACCAACCATAATAATCATCTGGCTGACTGTGCGACCAACCATAATAATCATCTGGCTGACTGTGCGACCAACCATAATAATGAAAGGACTCGATAGATGGATAAAAATGCCAAATCCAGTCTAAACATCTGGCTGACTGTGCGACCAACCATAATAATATAAGCACATTGAAGTCAAGAAGAAGTTTAGTAGTGAATACATAATGAGAGTGAAGAAGATCTTAAAGTCCAAACTCAGTGGAGGAAATACCATCAAGGCAATTA